AATCTTTTAAAACAATGAACTCTATATTAAAAAAAACATGTCATTAAGAAAACGAAATAATTTTCTTTACAAGAACTCGCTCTTCAGAAAAACAATTCCATCTTCTACAAATTTCACCAATTTTTTAGAACTGAAAAGCTTTCTATTCTCAGAAACTTACGTCCTCTACAAATTGCAGCAATTATTTAAAGTTCAGAAACTTCCTATTCTAAAAGATTAACATCCTCTACAAATCGCAGTAAACTTAATTAAGTAAAATAACTTTTCGAAATCTTTAATTGGAATAATTTATTTATAATCAACTTTAAACCAAACGGAATTTTTCTTTTAAAATTAACGTCAAATTTCAATCGTTTTGAAAAAAATTCGAAATAATAAGCTTTAAAATTAAACGAAAATTTTCAATTTAAATTGAGTGAAATCCGTTCTCTTTATGTTCGCAAATGAGAAGTAGCCAAAAAATCGATGGGTGGCCATGGCCTGAAACGGGTTGAATTAAAAATAGATTTCAAAATGTGTCTCGGGTTGCCACTAAATTATTTTTCGCAAAATTCATGCAAATTTTTCATTGTCTAAAGTATTTCTGAAGCCAACAATGAGCCTCATAAGTGAAATAAACACAGACATTTTCATAAATTTTGTTTAGCATTGACTATACTCTACAACAGAGATGAAACTAGTCAAGGCTTTTCTCGAGTCAAGTGTGGGTAAGTTAACAATGGATTCTAGCCAAGTCGACTCGGAGTTTACCTGACTTTTTATTTGTCAGTTTATTTTTAGTAAGAACATTCAGAAAAAAACTTTCAATACACAATATCCCGCTCCCATTTCTTTGAAAGAAAAAAGAAAAAAGCCACGTGAAAAATAAAAGCATGCAACTATAGATTAATCAGAAAATTAATAGAGTAAGATGAACTCCATAGTAAAAAAATATATTATGTTTTCATCAATATGTGCAATAGTATGCTTATTCCTGTTCGTGCTGTATCCTGCAAAAATACATTGATAATTTCGTTAAATTTAACATGAATACTTTAAAATCAAAGGCGAGTTAAACATTTTTTACATTTTAACTTAAAAAACAATAAAAGTTAGAGTATGTTTTTTCACAAAAATAATTGCTTTGGATAAAAACGACTATTTTTTTGTTCTACAAAAAGAAACTTTGGAAAAAATTTCATCGTAATTTTACATTTACAGTAAAACTGAATGTTATCTCTCATACGTGGATTATCATTTCTGACATATGAACACATAGATCAAAAAAGCCCTTAAGAAATTCTTTGTATGAAATGTATTCAATAAGCAAGAACATTGTGTTTAGACTAGAACTAACTATTACATATTGTAAATTTTTATGCGAATAGACCATATACATTTTGAATTATCGATTCGAATGGCCTGAGTCAAACAGTCGACTCAGCATATCCAATTCTCAAGTCACAGCCGAGTTCGACTCATGAAAAAAGTGACTAGAGCCCGAGTCATGACTCAGAATCTCCCGTCCTTGCTAATAAAAATGTGTTTCCGATAAGTTCTAGTTCATCATTAATCGCAACATTTTCACCCAGAAATTCATCATCAATAATTCGCTTTTCTAATCATACTTCTATTTCTAATCAAACATATCGACTATAAATTCTTGCTGTTGCTGATATTTTCTTTACATATCAGACAATATTCAACTGAAAAAAATCGAATTCTTTTTGAAAAGAAAATCATCACTTAATAATATTATGCAGTTCATAGTAGTTAGAATTATGAAATAAAAGAAGTGAAGGAAGATAAATCAAATTCTTTGGGAAGAAAAGTAAAGATATGAGTTGAAAACAGTAGGGTGTGGGCGTGGTTTACAGTTGAAATACGCTCACACTCACATCCATACCCCAAATATCTTTAGTTTCTATTTCAAGTTTTCTCTTGCCATTTTAGCTAGTTGCGACTGGTATTGCCGAATCGGTCAACCGTGCTTTGTCGACTATACCTGTCAATGTGAAGGATATGTGATCGTCTGCGAGTGCGATTTTCCCCAATGGTGGCCGCAATGTACATACCGTAAGTCTGGCAATGTTTCTAAAAGGCACTAGTTTATTCACCCATTTCATAACACATTGAGGTCAATGAGAGGTCTGCAAAAAAATCAATATTACAAAGTGTTGTGATCTCGGAAATATATGCAGCTATATCGTTAGAGACTATTGATAATAGAATTCTTTTTTCAAGATATTGATAGATTTTTCATAGACTTAATTAGTTCTGTTGTATCCATTAGTATCTATTCTATTGTTTATACGTTGTCCCTAAACCAAGAATGTTGAAATCAGTTCAAGATGTCAACTTATCTATACGCTTAGCTGATTGCCAGTCACTTCAAAGGAGTCAATTAACTTGACATGGCAGTCAAATGTGAGCTCGAAATTGTTCTATTAGTACATGTTGGTTATAATGAATTGAACTCTTCTCCAAGTACATGGCCTAAAAAGCAACGGATATGATCCATGTGATCAGTTTCATTATTGAATAACCAGTATCTCGATTACCAGTAAATAATGAGAAAATGATAATTTAATAATTAGTAGTATCAATATGTGAAGTGTATTATTTATTAAAACATTGTACCTATATCCCACCCAATGAGTTGAGCGTGAGCTGTCACATACGTAGCTCGAATACACTGGTGAGCGTAAGTGCTACATTCAAGCTTTAGGACTCTTCACTGTTACTCCTCAATAATAGTATCAGAAATGCAATAGGTCGTCAAAAAGAATTCGTCACTTCACGTGTTTTGCATCGATTCAGTCAGGGTAAATTGTATAAGCGACTGCTCTAAGAAATTTCTAGTTTCATTCAGATTTATCAGAGCTATCGAACTACTACTATATCTACTATCGAAAGAGTCCTGTTAGAAATAAAAATTATCAAATAAAATATTATCAAATCTTCACCCGAAAATAGCCGGCAGCTTGATATCAAATATGGTATAAGTTCGAAACAGAGTGATAAAATTTTCAGAATCAATATTTCGGTGGTTCAAACATTTTCAGATATTCAAGCTTGCTAGTGACAATAGAGAATGTAAAATCTTTGTTTGTGTGCAAGTTTTCATATCGTAAATAGCAAGTTCGGAAATTAATGAGCAAAAGTTCGATTACCCTTATTCTGAAAGTATTTACTTCAATTAGAGTTTGCAAGACCTTTACGTCAAATTTGTTTCAGATCTGCCATCAAAAATAAATCTCCAAAAGCTAGAATGACATAAGTTTGTCTAAAACCTAATCATAAATGCTGTAAGAATATTGACTGTCTATTATTGCTCAAAATCTTTACGAAGTTTGGCGTGAAATACATGTTTAGTATCTATACGTTGTATAGAATCATTACCGTAAGTAGTCTCGGTTTGGGACAATTCTTTCGTTATTTGGAGACTAGTTGCGTATCATCATGATGAGTACCATAAATAGTAACACAGTAAAACTGAAACTCGTACGCCATGCTTTACAATTACTATACTTTTATCACACATATTGGGACTTTTTTACGAGATTAACAGGTTATACCAAGTATATCGCCTTATAGAGAATGTTCTTGACATTTTCTCTTAATTTTACTGATGAGATCGAATTCTGACGAAAAGCTTTTCTTTGATTTACGAGCTCCCGAGTAGAGCATATGTCGAAACACAGAAAAATAAAACACTAGAGAAGAAAATGTACAGGAAAAATATAGAAAGAAGCGACATTGAATAACCAAAATGAAAGAGATTCTTCAAATTCAAATGCCGAAAGTGTATTATTTTCAATGATCTCCGCGATTATGAGAGCTTTCCATGAATACCTTACAACAGAGAAGTGAAAGTGATTAGAATGCTTGAAATTATGGCAACTACTCGAGAAGACGGTATACATTGTAGCTGCGACATGAATGACTATAATCTTTTAATGAAAAAGAATATAACCATAAAACAGCAGTCTTTAGATTTCTACCACACAGTTTCATACACTTCATGTTGATATTTTTGAACCACCGCAAGAATCATATAAAAGTTCATTTTATGTTTCTTGGATCATGAGAAAAAGCACCGAATTTTCTGCTGATTTCCCTAGTGAGAAATGGTTCGTATATATCATACGTACCTTCAAATTGATTTATCTCGAAAATACAAGACGATCAACACTGCTACGCGAAACGAGTACTACACCCAGATTGGGTGACACCTCCCAGTAGCTATCACAAACTTGAACCATGAACATTAGACATCAAATTAAATCGAAAATGAAGAAGCACCGGCATAAGAGTGAAGCTTCGTGTAGTCTCAAAAGGTCATTCGTTGTTTTTTTAAACCCTCTAAAGCAATAATCGACGTCGACCATAGAGCCGCATCCCCTTCGGTTTCGGTCTAGCTTACTGTACATTATATCCTGGCATTTCTCTACCAGCAAATTCGGACAAGCATATTCCAGTATATTTCTTCCAGACTTATCCACATTCTTTACAAAATTCCGCACCAACATCCACAAGACTTCTTTTATATGCCCATATTTCCATACCACCTCTTCAAACAGCAAATGTATCTTCACTAAGCAGGAAAAATAAGAACATAATTCATAGCTGGGCCATCTACAGCAACTTATAATTAGTAAAGCAGATAATCCGGAATTATCCATACAGAAATTCCGGCCGGTTCAGTAAACACAACTCGAAAACCCCAACCCACACGAACTCTTGCAAAGAAACCAGAGCGAACTCCATCTCCTCCATTTAAATAACCACTCATAAAAGAAAGGAAATATTAAACACAAAACTAAATCCAGTAGCACAAGAATTCAATATATCTCCTAGGTCGCACGCCAAAGCCCACTTCTCACAAGCCAACGACGACAACTCAAAAACCTACAACCACAAAACTTACTACAACAATCCGGCTGACCGCCAATCCCCCCCCCACCACTACAATAACTACAACTGAAACAACCACTACAACTGAATCCACCACACCAACCATGACGACCTCGACGACTATCATAAGTGAAACAACAACGACAACTGAATCTACGACAACAACCACAACGACCTCGACGACTACTACAACTGAATCAACGACCAGAACTGAATCTATGACAACAAGCACAACGACCTCCACGACTACTACGACCGTGTCTACTACTACAACCACGACGACTTTGACCACTATAACAACGGAATGGGCGACCATAACTGAATCTACGACGACAACCACAGCGACCTCCACGACTACTACAACTGAATCAACGTCCACAACTGAATCTACTACTAGAGCGGAGTCTACCGCTGCGACTGATACAACAAGCAGAACTGAAACGGCTACTACCACTGAAATAAATACTTCATCTAATACAATATTCACCACTGATAAAACTACTACAATGGAAACGACTAGTACAGTCAATGCAATAGAAGAAACTTCTACAACGAGGTTGGCCGAATCAAGTACTGGAACTGAGGAAAATACTAAAAGCAGTGCGACTGCAGCAACTGCTAGTTCAATAACAAACTTTTCGAATAAAAGCGCCATCATTCGGAGCACACATACCGCTGCACCTGAATCAATGAAAAGTGTGGTAATGCTCGTTACGACTCTTCAAGTGACAACGAATGGCTCTGTTACTAGTGTAGCGGCTACCCCTATGAGCACAACAAAGAGGAGCAACGAGTCTACTGGTAGTCTAACAAACGGAGATGTCACGACTAAGATAACAACTAGTGAAACCGATAGAACAACAACGCAAACAAGGTCTTCAACGACAACTAAAATAACCAGTGACAGCAGTGTTCGGATAGCAAGCACTACGACCACACCAGAGACAATAATTGACTCCAGAGGTAGCACAACAGGCACCACTTTCAATTTAAGAGTAAACACCGCAGTAGCCACGACCGAGATAATTACTGACTCCACTTCTAGCATGAGAACAACAACAACTATGATTATAACGGAGACAATTGCTGAATCAATTACCAACACACTTCGTACCTCTGAATTGAGTAGAAGGAGATCAACGAACACTGCAGAACCCAGTAGACATACGACAACTAGAACAACTGCCACTCAATCCACTGCATGGAAAACCTCAATCACAGTGACAAGTACAGCAACAGCAATAGCTACTTCGCAATTCACTACAGTTGTAACTGAAACAACTGTGATGACAACAACTATAGCGACTACCGCTATGAACACAAGCTTCACAACTGCCTATGTAATAGAGTCAGTCGTTACACCCAACATTACGATTATTACTAGAACAGAGACAACACCTCACGCGAGTAAATCCTCCACAGCTACAATGCCGACTACTACAGAGACCGTCAATACAACGAAAACAACCAGTCAAACCACATCTACAACCTCAACACATATGACTAATACAGAAAGTACAGCGGCTTCAACTGAAGCTACTGGAGGAATACGAGTCGCATACGCCACTACCAATGAAATGAACGCAACATCACCAACAACCTTCATAACTTCAGTAGGGAGAACTATTTTAACGGTCACATCGAATTCCTCTACCAGCACAACAGGTATGCAATTTCGTAACAGATTCTCCGTTAATATTAGAAACTAGTTTATATGTGCATGAATTCATTTGTACATTGAGAAGAGTCACTTTTTCGACATAACTGCTGATCTGTTCCACTTTCTTTTTAGTAAAACCGTCAACATCATTTTTTGTACCAAAAAAATGTAATAACTCAGCAACGTTCGGTGCCAATTGTAGCATGTCTAGTAGTTTATGCAGCATCAAGCGCCCATGTCAAAACAATGGAATATGTCAAGGAAATCATAGCAACTATAATTGTGTATGTTCATCTGGTTTTTTTGGTACCGATTGTAGCATTGATCATCGACCTTGTAAACCACATACGTGTCTCAATCACGGTAATTATATTACTTTTCAGCAAAGTACTAACATCTATTTCATTTTAGGCACATGTAACATTACACTCAATTCAAAATTTTACTGTAAATGTGACGATGGTTGGCAAGGTGACCATTGCGGATCTAGAGTAAACTTTTGTACTAATAACACATGTTTCAATAATGGTGTTTGCCAATCGTTATTAAAAAATTATTCATGTCATTGCCTTGGTGATAGTTATTTTGGTCGACATTGTGAAATAACTGCTAGAAAAATTATTATTTATAAAATAGTTTCAAAATCATTTGGCTACATTGCAATCTGTGCTCTGTCAATTACTGCAACGTTCATTCTGACCATGGATATACTAAAATATTGTTTTAATATTGATCCAGCAATAGAAGACTTGAAAAGAGTGCGACAAGAAAAACGAAAGCATCGCGTGATTGAACGTTTAATCTACGTCGATGCAACACGGCAAGCATTTGAATAAAACTTTTCTCATGCTTTGCTGATAAACATACGAGTACCATCACGCAAATATCAAGTTGATATTTGAAACAGAATAAGTAGTGAGTCCCTAGCACATACTATTTTTCTTTACAAACTCATATTTCATCACATCGGCTGATGCTTTATTCTTTCTGAAATATTATCATTAGTTTTTCTTCTGCTTTGTATATAGAATAATGCTCTTTTTTTCGAATGCTCGAATACACAATCCACATATAATACCGATTGTTGTATCTGATCGATCTCATACACATAAATTAGGTCACTCGTGTATTATTGTTGGTTGTCTATCAATTATTATTGGACTCAGTCTCATTATAAGGGGGGTGATATCAGAAACAAAAAAGGCGACATTGATTGGTATTGGTATTATTAGTTTAGCTGTCGGCCTTTTTACTACAATATTAGTATGTTTTTATGGTAAATTAAATATATATTATCACAATTGGGCATATGGTCAACGTGTTGTACCACTTAATATTGAAACTCCTCACGAAGGAAGACAGAGTGGTGGTGGTGGTGGTATATCGATGGCTCCGTATTCCGAATCGCTATCAGTAACACAAAAAATACAACCGACAATTCCATTATCATCTTCATCGTCAATGACAATGCTATCGGATCTCGAAATAAATAAAGTTATAATTGGCCGATCAATAAAAATTGATAAGGCAACGATTCAGAGCGATATTATGACTTAACGCCTCTATAAAACTTGCATCTGTTATTTTTTCCCGTGTACACATTTTCACTATTTTTCTATGCGTATATTATTTTATTTTTTCTTGTCTCGTTTATTTGAAAAATACCTTTAGAATGAAGGCATTGATTTACTCACTGGTTTGGATTTTATTTATCGATATTTCGAGTAAGTTCCAGCTCGAATTTCTTCTTATTTAGCAGCTCATTCATTTAATTTAGTACAATTATCATTGAATGAGAAACATCTTGAAATATTATCCAATCTAAATTTTCATTCGTTACCATCTGTGTATCAACAAAGTCTACTTGAAGTTCGAGCTAAAGCTGAGGGCCGTGCCGATACAAAGTTAGAAAATAATTCTTATTGAAATATTTTTCAAAAACATTTTTGAATTTTTAGCACATGGTGCTGTAAAAATGGCAATCCGGCTAAAATGAAAGTAATTACAACAACATTCATTCGTTGGGAACCCACAGGACAAACTCAAGCGGTTCTTGTCGGTCATGAAAGTTGTGGATTTGGTGGATGGTCATCATGTTCTGTTTATGGTATTCAACATATGTAATTATTCATACGGACTATAAAGATTTTATTCTTGATTAATTTTAATTTTTAAGACCAACCTCATATATTGATTATGGTCATGAACTTGTTCCCGACGTGGAAAATAGCCAATGTCCAGAAAATCATCTCGTCTGTTGCAAATCTATGATTCCAGTAGCAGGCTTTTGCATGAGTAAATAAAATCAAAATATTTCGTTTATTATACTTGTTTGTTTTGTCTTTAAAATAGGTATAATAGATTTCAATCGTGTTGTTGCTGAATGGTCAAAATTGCAAGCAACTCATCCTGAAGCAACACTCGCTAATCTTATTGTAACAATTCAAAATAATGGTTTATCCTCATTAAGCGGTTGAAATAAATAAAACAAGCGAGAGAAAGAAAATTCAGTTTATAAAGCACTTTTCAATGGCGCAGATTTCCATTTAATTAGTTCTCCAATCTTCATATGATTGATATGATCAAGAAAAGTTGATCGTAATTTTAAACCATTGACAACACCATACAATACTCGATTACGATTCAGATCAGAACTATCGTTGGCTAATGCAATACTATAAGCTTTACTTAAAGATTCCATAGCTGAATCATAATGACCCTAGAAAAACAAAGAACAATTTTCAGAGAGTCAATAGAATATTTCTACGATACCAAATTTGTTTGAATCAAACCAAATGTACTACAGGCTCGTGCATATTGATTATCATCGTGTTTATTCGATACTTTTTGTAAATATCTGGTTAAATATTCCGAAACTTTCTCGATATTTTCTTTTCTGGAAATTCAAAAGAAAATTTTTGATCAAATTTTTAACTTCAAATTACTTCTGATAACAAATTGCAAGTGCTTCACTTGCTTGACCGAAACCTTCATAATCATTTACTCGTTGACAATGATCATAGCAAATATGAAAATATTTTAAAGCTAATTCAATATTTTCACGTTCGAGATAGGCATGTCCTAATTTATAACATGTTTCATTTTCGACATTTTTATCATCGCCTTCGAAAATAAAAACTCGCATTGATGTTTTTTGTTCAAAATAGAGTTTTACTTTGTTTCGATGCTTCGTAAGCTTTAATAATATATGTCAATGCTTCGTCGTCATTTTTATGTTCAGATAATTTTATATAAAAACGTGTCAATTGAAGATTAGCATCTGTTTTTAAATCATAATAATGTTCACTTGATTTACAATAGGTTTCATAGTTAAGTAATGCTTTTCGAAAATTTCCTAAAGCATCATACCGTAAAACGAATGGAGTTGAGCTCTTGTAATATCTCTTACCTTGCCTTTCATATACTGTTGCAACATTTCGATAGGCTTCGACTACTAGTTGTGAGTCAAGTTGTGAATATGTTTGAACAAGTGACAAACATTTCTTATAGAAATAATCCGACAACCAATGATCATCACTTTTAAAGAAAAATGATGCTAATTCAAGATAATTTTTATACACATTTGAATATTGTTCTAGAATTCAAATATTCAATTTACCTTTTCTTTCAAAACAAATGAAAAAGATTACTTCTTCGTTCGGTTTCTTCAGCTTTATTAAGATATACACAGAGAAAACGTAATTTATCAACTTCTGCATCTAATAATGGCCGTCGATTATATGGATGTTCTGCACCTAATCGTTCTCGATCGTTTTTTTGCCACTGTAATATAGAACATAATTCACGAAACGATTGATGGTAACCTTGAAGAAGCATATCAATTGATAGTTGACGCTGCAATGAAGTTCGATGCCTATGGCAATAACAAAATTTCGTATAGGGATGATTTTATTTTCAAAACTCTACTTTTCTGTATCTGATTTTCGAAGGGATGGTTGTTTTTCATAATTTTTTGCAGTATCTTTCAATTGTTTTAAAGGAAGCTAAATGTAAGGGAAGCATGAAAATAATCACAGATAAGAAATTATTCACCAACTTTTGATTTCTCTTGGTAAGCTTTACTTGGTAGAATAATATTCTGAAAAAATGACGATTGTTGCTTTGTAGGAATTTCATTCGATCGCTTTTTACGATGCATTGATGTTTCAGCTGCAACAAGGGGATTCATTGAATATAAAGATGTAAAAAATCACTGTTATACGACTTACCCATGATACAGAAAGAATATTGCCGTATCCAACACCCTATGTCAATATTAGGAGAATTTAATTCTTATCAAGACATACAATAACGACATCTATTGTACATACGACGGAGAGCGTTGTTTTTTCTTTAAATTTTATATTAAATTTTAGCTTTAAAAAATGTTCTTTTTTTAATTATATTTATTGTAAATAAGTAACTATCGATTGATTAGATTCGATCACCAATGGATACCTTCCAAATCTTCACTTCGATCCATCCGTCATCATCGTATCATTTCACAGCTGGTGTTGCAGACTCGTCTAGGAGTAAAGATGATTAAATATTTCTATTTAATAAGTCTTTTTCTTATACTCAATATTCCATCGGCTGTAAGTGTGGATCGATCAAATTTTAAAACATGTGACCAAAGTTCATTTTGTCGGTTAGTTTTATTTATTTTGCCATTACACAAATGCTATTTGTCTTTCTGATTAGACGACAACGTAAATATAAGCCTGATACAACACCCTATGAGGTTGATTTGAGTTCAATGAAAAAAATTGCCAATGGACATTTACAATTTGTATTACTGAATACTGTAAAACCTCAAGTAAAATTTCAATTAGATCTATATACACTCGAACAAAATTCATTACGTGTTAAAATCAATGAAGTAAATCCAATAAGAAAACGTTATGAAGTTGAAAATGTTCTTATTACTGAACCAAAATTGGTCGAGTAAGAGTGAATACAACTTATGAAATAAGAAAACAAACGCTCCATCATCTTTTAGTGCTACTATTAAAAAGACGGACAATAATCAAATCGAAGGACGTTGGAGTATCGCAGCAAAATTTATTCTCAATGCAAAACCATTTCGTTTGGATTTATTTACCAACGATATATTTGTGATCAGCGTTAATTCGAAAAATATGTTCAATTTTGAACATTATCGACAAAAACCAGGGTAGGAACAGTGTTATTTTCGGCAAAAAAAATTGTAGCTTAAAATGATTTAGAACGAACGGAGAGGCAGGTGAAAATAACGTAAGTTTGAAATAAAACTTTGACCTTGTGGCATACCCAGATGGCGCTGATAAAAAGTAATGATTTCTTTAATTGATTTAGAATGAAGATAATGAGGATGGAATGTGGGAAGAAACATTTAAAACTCACCATGATTCAAAACCCTATGGTAAAAATTCTACATGCTTCACTCTTTTGTCATATACCTTATGTTGAAGGTCCATCATCGATTGGCGTTGACGTAAATTTTCTTAATTTTGAAAATGTCTATGGTATTCCCGAACATGCTGATGCATTTTCACTCCGATCAACACAGTAAAAATACCATAGAAGTCCTGATTTCTTAATCCAGCAAACATCTATTTCTATTTTTTTTAGTGATACAGACCCATATCGTTTATTTAATCTTGATATTTTCGAATATGACATTGGAAATCCTATGGCTTTATATGGTGCTGTTCCATATATGCTTGCACACAAGTAATTAACCTAAACTAAAGAAACCACACCCTCAAGAATCTAATTTCTCTAGTGAACAAGCAACTGTTGGTTTCTTTTGGTTGAATGCTGCTGAAGGTTGGATCGATGTTCTCAACGATAAATTAAATACAAAAGTAAGTCAATCACGCGAAAAAGTAACTGCATTAGCGACCGACACGATTACTCGTTTTGGTGATTGGTACTTCTTCTTTTTTTTCCTTGCAGACCAATTGGTTTACGACTCAGGTAATAAAAAAAACAAAGTTAAATTCACTGTTGAAATAATTAGACAAACTTTGCTGCATGTGTACAGTGAAGCAAAAACAAGCAACACTCTTAGTACCTTGCTTAATGTTTTCAGTGAAACTTTAAAATGCATTATGTATTATGATTTTCATAGGACTAATCATATTTTGTTGTGTTTTCTTCAGAAAGAGAGATTGATGAATTTGATTTTTATTTAGACTCTTCTTTCGAGTTTAACAAGCTTTTTTGGTACGAAATCAACGAATGACAATAGTGAAGTACCCGAAGTCACAACACATTGGATGTTTGAAGCAGGCATTTTCGATGGTTTTTTCTTCATGGGTCCAACACCGAATGATGTATTTAGACAGTACACTACTCTGACAGGAGTGACACCAACACCACCGGTATGAGATTTTCATCTTAGAAAATAAAAACAAAGTGGAAATGTTTACTTTTTTAAGCTTTGGTCTATTGCCTATCACCAATGCCGTTGGAATTATAACGACGAAGACGATGTCCGAGGGTTGGTTACATTGAAATAAAATTATTTCGATACAGTTAAAGGAACAAGATTTTTTTTTCTCTCTCTCTGCCAGTGTTAATAATGGTTTTGAACAACATCAAATACCAGTGGATGTTATTTGGCTTGATATTGAACATACCAATGGCAAACGTTATTTCACATGGGATACATCGAAATTTCCCGATCCAGAAAAAATGCAAGACGATCTAGCTGCGTATGGCCGACGAATGGTTACGATTACTGATCCACATATTAAAAAAGATGATGGATATCATGTTTATGCCGAAGCAAAATCAAATGGTTACTTTGTTAAAACAAAAGATGGATCTGATTATGAAGGATGGTGTTGGCCCGGTAATAATATTGATTCAAATTTTATTTTATTTTTGAATCATTCTAGGTACTTCTATGTGGCTTGATTATTTCAATCGGGATATTTCTCAATGGTATAGTCAGCGTTTTACTTATGACAATTACAAAGGTTCAACACGAAATCTTTTCATTTGGAACGATATGAACGAACCATCTGTATTCAACGGGCCGGAAGTAACATTTCCGAAAGATATTGTTCATCATGGTGGATGGGAAAATCGAGATGTACACAATTTATATGGCATGCTTCAACATGGAGCATCGTTTCATGGCCTTGTTGAGCGTTCACACGGCAATGCCCGACCATTTGTATTGACTCGTTCATTTTTTGCTGGTTCACAACGAACAGCAGCTGTGTGGACAGGCGACAATGCAGCACATTGGAGTCATCTTAAAATTGCTGTACCCATGCTACTCAGTTTATCCGTGACTGGTATTAGTTTTGTTGGCGCTGATGTTGGCGGATTTTTTGGTAATCCTGATGCGAAATTACTTGTTCGATGGTATCAAGCTGCAGCATTCCAACCATTTTTTCGTGAACACGCACATATTGATACAGCTCGCCGTGAACCGTGGTTATTTGGCGACGATAATACACGACTTATACGACAAGCTATTGAACAACGTTATAGTTATTTACCATTTTGGTATACACTATTTTATACTCAAGAGAAAAACGGCGTACCACCCATGTTACCATTGTGGTTTCATTTTCCACGCGATAAAAATACATTTAAAACAGAAGATTCATTCATGATTGGTATGTGCAAGAAATTCAAGAAGTTTCATTTCTATTTTAAAAAATGTACTTTCATAGGTAATGGCCTTCTTGTCTATCCTGTAACGGAAGCTGATACAAATCAAGTTTCAATTTACTTCCCAGGAGAGAATACGGTAAGAAGAGAAAGAGAATTTCGTTGATGATGATTATTTTTTTTCCTTAAACGAAAGGTTTGGTATGATATACGAACATTTACTCAACATAATGGTTCAGAAACAGCTCTTATTAATGTCGACATGGAATCCGTAAATTGACACAATGAAATCTTTATACCAAACGTAATCTTTTGTTGTATACTTTTAGATTCCTGTTTATCAACGTGGTGGCGCAATTATTCCACAGCGTCTACGAAAACGCCGTGCAGCCATGCTTGCTATCCATGATCCAATAACTTTAGTTGTTGCACTCGATCGAAACGTAAGACAGTCTTCATAATCCACTAAGAATATTATCAATAAATTCTGTTTAGAATGAAGCTGAAGGTGAACTCTATTTGGATGATGGTCAAACCTATGATTATCGTCAAAAGCATCAGTTCATTCATCGTCATTTTACATTCAAAAATAATGAACTTCAATCAACGTATGTTTTTCTCAGTAATCTTCATTTGAATTTATTCGATCTTTATGATCTACAGGTCTCTTGATCCAACAGCTAAATTCGAAACGGATGCTTGGATTGAACGGATAATTATTCATGGCTATCCAAAAAATCCCACTCGAGTAAAAATACATTCAGGCGACAAACAAGCAGTCCCACTTCATAGCTATCAAGACACAACACAAACTCTTATTATTCGACGACCAGGTCCATCTGTAACAGCTGATTGGACACTCACAATTGCATGAAAAAAACACGATAGATATTCTTAGTTCTGTGCTTGTTATCTCTTTGTCTATCTTCTTTTTTTTCTCGTTTGTTATCTGGTGATTAATAAAGATGCTTATGTGTGCTGCTTTTTATTTTCTTTTTGTCATCGTACGAAACAGTAAGCTAGAAAGTATCTTATCAGTGGTCACTAGCACAATTCGTTTTATTTTGAATACACAAAAAGAGTCATGATGAAAATAAGGCCGATCTATGTTGGAGTCGTTTTTGCTTGCTTGATTCTGCATACTTTTGGACAACATTTTGTATGCAATTCCGTTAATGGATATAATACCAAAGATTTAACAAGGTAAAGAAAGTAGTTATGAGAATTCTCTTCACTAGCGAAAGAAACATCCTATAGTGCTATTCAATGGCAAACACAAACAGATTATAATTGTCTGACGAATGCTGGTGTCAATTGTGATTTTTATTTAAGTTTTTGTCAACCAGGTAAGAATTTCAGTCGACTATCGAAGTGATCGCAATGATTAGTTTCTTTTATTAGCACCTGCGTGCTTTAAAGAATATTCGGCATGTCAAAATGCAACAGGAGCAGCCAATGTAACTGTTCTTGGTGGTGTTAGCCCGAATGTTTTCTATCCATATGGTAAATAATTAGTATTGAAATAGGAGCGGCTCTTTTTTACTTCTCATTATGATACTTGTTTAGACACTCCTGGAAAGGAAGGTTTTTATGCTAAATTTCCTACGGCTCCAGAACAAATGATCTCCAATACAACTAATTGTACGCCAACATTAATCATAAATTTCAATTGTAATCCTTCCGTGAAATGGCTTGTTCCAATAACGAATGGAACAGCGAGCGCACCTGAGCCTACTGATGTTGATCTTAACGATTGTTTAGTAACTAGATTTTGAACCGAAATTCTTTTGACAAAGTCTTCGCTTTAGACTACTATGACGTTTGATTACGATGGAGCATGTCTGAAGAACAAGGTTCCAAAAAAAGGAATGAGTGGTGGCGCTGCTTTTCTGATCGTGTATGTTCATAGAAGGGAAATTTCGATAGTCGAGTGTTTGCTTTTCAGTTTATTTTGTGTTGCTTTAGTTTATTTTGGTGGTGGTATGATTTACAACGGATTGATTCAACATCAATCTGGTATTAAAGTAATTCCGAACGCACAATTTTGGATTGGTCTGCCATTGTATTTTATCGTAAGTTGAGAGTTGTTTTTCTACCGGATCGTTTTAATCCTGATGAATTCTAGGAAGGTGTTCGAACTACGATTAGTTGTTCAATATGTTCATCGAAACCAAGTCAAGCAACATATGAATCTGTTTAAATTAGAATATTTTTCTTTATTTATTTATTTTTTTTTGTGTTTTTTTGATTAATTATTTTTCTTTTCGTCTTTCGAAATAATAGAAAATCAAATCCATACAATCGAATGATCCGTTTTTTTATACTCTGTACTTTTTTGACGAGCGTATGTCAAAGCAACCGAGAAACTTTTCTTAGCAAATAAATCAACATATAAGAGTTTCATTTTTCTTTTTGACTTAGACAACACCTAAGCGCTTTTTCCGTTAGAGAAAAACAAAAAAGCGATGTTGATCATAAAATATTCTCGCCTAAAAACAGTTCCGACTATTTTGAGTTTCGCAAACGAAACTGAAGTCATAAATTTCAACGTGAATCAATAGGGTTCAAGACAATTGATATGATTTCACTTCTTCTTCTTCTTTTTGTTTCAAACACTTAACTCAATTGATCCTCAGCGAATTTATAAAACATAAGGATTATTAATCGTTTTCAAAATGATGTTGTCTATTCTCTGCTTCGTTATCTTTCTTGCTTTATTTACTTTTCTCTTCACTGCTTATGTTCTTCTTTTTTTTTCATATTTGCTTTTCGTTGAGATTTTATAAAAGACAGCAAGTGGTATAAGTCGTTTCTATTTGCTCTTACTGATAACTGCAACAGACAGGTTTTTCTTTTTGTATTTTTTTTTCTTATACACATAGTTTCGTTTTATTTTTTTCTAAAAGATGAAAGTCACCGATTTTTTCTCGGTATACCAATCATTCGGATATCTGTATTTATCGCACCTATAGATAACACTTTGACCCTCTTACTATTGTCTATGTTAGTTTAAAATCTCGAATAGCACTTTTTTCTAAAGTGATTTGCACGTGCGAATATTTCACTTGCATATATATTTATATACATGTTGGGAAGAAGCGCCTTTATTCATGAGTCAAAAAGAGAAAAAAAGAGGAGAAGAATGAGAGAAAATAACTTAACTTTGCCGTTTTATTTCGACTCTTTTTCTTCAATTTGAATACATACAACATTAATAGTGTAGTTTTTCTCTTGTCGTACACATCAAGTACAGCAAAAAGAAAAAGAAAGGTAATAAATCTAATTGTTTCGAATTGAAACTATTTTGTGAAACCCTGCTCTATCTTTCCTTTTTTTGTGTTATGACGACTCTCGTTTTATAACTATAATAACAAGCGATAATTTTTTATCAAAATTTTTTTGTAGCCTCATTTGGAATGAGAACAACAGACATAGAAAGAGAAGAGTCTTATCACTAGACTCCCATATTAAAAAAAAAGAACATCTGATATAGTACAGTCAGACATTTTAGCTCCATAACAATGCCATTAACTAGTAAGTTTATTCAATAGAATTGAGTCTCATCTAAGCCGAAAAACATCTTTTAAATTTACCGAACAAACTCTCTTGCACTCTCGTTTTTTCTTTCCAGTGACATTATTTCATCCTCACTATGTCATCTACTTGGTCGCAAAACAATGGAAACTCTTTAGTTGCATCCATGATCAAAAATGAACATACCAATGATGATGAACATAGTAATCTTTCGAATAATAGTAATACAACATCATCATCAACAACAATGACAATTACACAAAACAATCCATTATTATCGAATAATCAACCGCATGTATCTATAATTGAGCCAGTCTATTCGGAATCGGCAACGTTAAAAAATTTTAATCTTTCTTCTACGAATAATTTGCAACAAGAACAATATTCATCAACGAATGGTAAGAGAAGCAATTTGATAGCCATGTAAATAAATCTAAAAGAAACAACATATTAGATCCATCATCATACGTTGGTCAATTTATCAGATCCGATCTTCAATCATATACTGATCCAATAGTTTATTATGGCGACGGTATGATTGATCCACTTCAACAAAATTATTCGCATTTACAACAAGGTAAAAGAAATAAAGCTTTAATCCGATTCGAATTAAATTATTTATTCTGCACTTTTGCAGTTCTTTATTCTCCATCGATATCAAGTATTCACCATGGGCAGCCGTTATCCTACGACGATGCAACTCGGCCAAGAACAATCGTCTATGATAATGGTACCATTCAAACGTGGCCATCGAATGAAGGTCAACATTATTTTACTTATCCTTCAGCGCCATTACCGAATATAGGCGAATTACCACATCTTCAACAACATCAAAATGATCCAATACATTTTTGGCAAGATGCTGCCACTGGTGGCACATTTATTCAGTATCCCGGTAAGAGTTTTGTTTAAGAAAAAAAGTAAAAACACCCATTGAGAATCTTCCTACCTTAGATGGTTCTTCGTTTGATATAACTGATGGACGTGAATGTGTCAATTGTGGCGCTCTATCAACACAATTATGGCGTCATGATCTTACTGGTCATTATCTATGTCATGAGTGCCATTTATGTCATAGAGTAGAAAGTCCCAATCGATCATTGCAACGAACAACTCGGTCTATGGTGAGATAATTTGTTTTAACTATTCTTTTATTTTATTGGCTTTTTAGGAAGATGATGATCATGCGCGATCATCTGCTATAGACAATTCTTATTCACTTCCTCTTTCGCAACCTTCAACAAAAACTTTATCTTCATTAGTACATGAAAATTCTGATAGAACAACTTATTCAACTGTTAAAAACAATGATTCAGTACGTTTACGAATCGAAATAGAACGATGACTTAATATTTTTTATTTCTCTCATATCTAGAATAAATCAACTGCTGCAACGAACAATAAACAAGTGAATTCATTCTTTTTCAATTTATGATCATAAGTATAAATTATTATAGACTGTAACAAACTCAAGACGATCGGGTCTTCAGTGTGCTAATTGTCAAACACAAACTACAACTTTATGGAGACGAAACAATGAAGGTGAACCTGTTTGTAATGCCTGTGGCTTATATTATAAACTTCATCATGTAAGGAGAACGAAATTTGAAAAGTCTTACTCAGTCTACTTTAGATCTTGATCATATCAAATTTCTATATCGTTCATTGAGATAGTCTTAAAGAATAAAGTGGTTCTCGTATTTTAGGTTGCTCGTCCAATGAATATGGTTAAAGAAGGTATTCAAACCCGTCGGCGTAAACAGAAAAGTACCAATGCAACTCTATCTTCAAAATCGAAACATAATAAACATTCCAATTTAACAGCGCCGACTAAAGAGGCTAAAGCCTGTACATCGGAATCGAACGGTAATCATGGCCTAAAGATAACACAAGAAGAATATATGACACGACCAGGAACTTATCAATATGATGATTTGTATCCTCAACATATGCATTTACTTCATCATCCGTATCCGTCAGCATATGATCAACATCAACGTTTTCATTCTCAACCACAATTAGAAATGGCAACAAACGGTTTTGATATTGAATCGTGTGCAAGAAAAATGATTACATCTCCGTTGGTAACAACGGGTCCGGCTACAATAAATACTATGACTAATAATGAAGTACAACATGTAAATGTTATTACAAATACGAATAATAATCAACCGTGATAAAAACTTTTTGTGTGTATTTTTTCCTGTTTTTCGCTCCTGTTTTGTATGTAGACACGATTATAGTAAAAGAAAAAAAGTGAACTTTTTGTGATGTGTTAATGATTTTGTGTTTCAATAAGAAATAAATAATTTGTACCTGTTCGTAAAAGAGTATCTTTCGAAGTCAGCGCCTGACCAATAGGAAAAAAACTTATTCGGACGAGTCAGAATAAATGTTTTTCCCATTTGCGTGTTGTTTTCAACAGTTTTATCATCTTTTTCGTTTTGCAGGTTTATGTAAAACAACAGCATGACGTCACCTTTTGTTTTGATGATGTTTGTTTTCAGATTAGATCTTTTCAAAAATAACAGAAAATGGTTTCATTGGAGTTCTCCTGAGTTCAGACATTCTACTTTCGTAATTAGTCTTGATGATTATTTAAACATATTGTTGTTCTGTCGGAAGGAGTTGAAGATCAAATTTCTTCGAACGTATAAAAGAGTTCTAAAAACGAAGGATATATCTTAACTAGTATGTCTAGCTGGTTATAATTACCCATGACAGTGTTTGTGCATCGTTCGATCATCACAGGTATGAGAAAACTCATGCTGCGACCGAGTATAACCACCAGTTTATATGTATGGTGACGAAGTTATTTATGATAGTCGATAAGAAAGATAATTATTATTTGACGAAGGTGCCCAGCATTGGGAAGCGAGGTCAACAGGAAGACTTTTTCTCTCGCTGCAGACCAATAAAAGTAATGAAATGAGGAAAATTAATGATCAGAAGGATACTAAGATTATATGGATCTTCGGCTTTTCGATCGACAACTATTCATTGGACAATTCACAAGAAATAAATTCTACGAATCGATAAGTTCATATAGTCGTAAAAGTCTTGTTCTTTTCTTCAAATAAATATTCACATTATCTCGAAGATTTGTTTTCGATAAACATAAATTTTAACCATAGTGTTCGATCCTGAAAATCTGATTTGAAGATTTTGGATAAAATCAATGTTACTATGGTCTAAATATTATTTTGAGATTTTAAAATCAGAGTTATTTATTATTTTTCAATAGATCAATCGACCATTAACATTGAATAAAGAGATAGAATTCAATCTCGCAAACAAAAATCAAAAAAAGACAAATCATATTGCACCGCTCGGCAATAGTAAAAGTAGGTTAAAAATATTTTTTTTTTATGCAGCATAGTCCTCCCTGGAGATGTGCAGTGTTCGTGTAAATACTGAAAAACTGACCGCTGACTACACCGACTTCACTGAGAACACTGAATAATTCAGTCAGTGCTCACTGAAGCACTGAGGGTCACTGAAGTTCGGGACATTGACCGGACCGACATCGACGTTCTCTGATACGCTAAGCCATTACATCTATCAAAGTATACATCTTTGTCAAAGGTATCATACGAGTGAACAATCTACTATTTTAAATTATACAACAAGCTTCGATGGATATATTTACTTATTTTACTCGAATAGATGAATACGTTCATTCAATTCACAGCCTCTCAACTATATATTTCATTATTTTGGTGTGTTATGACGAACTTCTGTGTCTGTAACGAACGTTCAAGAAAGATTCAAATTTATTCATAAATCTAGTGATACTAAAATTTTAATTGAATCTACGCATTTATTCTACACAGTAAAGAGAATCTTGATTGCACTGTATAGCATAGATTGCATTCATATGGAAATTGGAAAATTTCATTATAAAACGTTGGCTCTGTTGGATTCGTCAACAGAAGGTGCCAGCAGTCCATATTTCTTTAATTACTCAGAAGTTGTCTGTGTACCAGTGAACACTGATTGAATTATTCAGTGTTATCAGTGAAGTCGACGGTCAGTACACCGACACTGCACATCCCTAATCCTCCCTAATTTTCTTCAACACACCACAAGCTAATCTAGAAAATTACCTACAGTCATACTGTCTATAAACAAGTCAACTGGTCGTTTATCGGATAATTTTGAATTATTATTATCATCATCATCATCATGTAGTAAACAACTTTCATTACGATGTAATTATCAACAGCAGTCATCATCGTGTGGTTGAATATATATTAGAGTGTAATTATCAATAGTTTCCTATGAAATATACGATAATTAATGTGGACCATAATAAAAAATGTTTTGTGAATTGTTCCTCTATTTTGTTTTCTTTCCAAAAAGAAGTAATCATATGTATGCGGTCGTGGAATACATCTTGTAAACCCTGCTATCCGATGACTCATATCGGCCTAGGACTGTCTTTACCCATATGCCGTGGAAGGTGGGACTAAGATGGTAAACATTTTCGAAGTTTACATATAATATGCTAAATTTCTTTTGGGATTTTCTTACGTGTTCAAATAAAGTATTGCATGTCTCAACCTTCACAGTCACCGTCAAATACCATTTTTTTCCTTTTAACGAGACGAAATCGTAATCTATAATTGACAATGAATAATCATCGGCACGATTATTTTTCACTTCTAAAACACTCATTTAATCAATCGAGACTAATTCAGAGGTGTCAATGCTATAAAATAAATCGAAAAGTGCATCAAATAAAGAAATTACGGTTTATACACAATACAGATTCGCCACATAGAGCAATTATGATGTTTTATAATCGGAAGCAAATTTACGCAGAAGATTAAAACAAGTTCCCCTGTCGTGTTTTTATGAAAAATATTTCGTTAATATGAAATTCATCGTTTTGACAAACTTCTTCTATTCACATCAAAAGAAAAACGAAGTCATAAAGATACAACGCGCTTAAATAAAAGAAAAAAAAAATTTAATGCTTCTTTTTTTCTTCAAATAATCAAAAAATACAGGGCAGTGATTTTAACCGAATTTAGGAATACCAGCAAATAGTGATCTGAATTCACGTTTGCCAAATTTCGGAATGCCATGAAATAGACTTGACATAACGGGTTTAGATTTTTCTTCCCCATTGAGAATATTTCGTTCACCTGTATCCGAACATACACCATAGGATGTACAAAATACGTCAGCATACGAATTTTGATCATTCCTGTTGTTTTCCAATGGTTTGATAGCATTCTGTGAATTCGAGTCACTCAGTGATAATTTGTCTTTTTTGTTGTGATGAGTACATGGAATAGTTAATGAAGAACAATAAAGATTGAAAAGTAGTACAAGAATAAAAATCGGATAAAAATGAAACATGATAAAATTTTAAAGGAAAGAACTGCGCTTACGAATATGTTAATAATTTTTTATGTGTTCGAGCGTTGCCAGTAATTCAGAAACAGATATGATTCTCTACCAGAAGCTTTTTGCTTCTCATTTTCTCTCTCATTTTTCTTCCTGCATCTTTTTTTTCTTTTTTTTTCATACAAATGATAATCCAATTAACGCAATAGAAGTGATCGATGGATCCAACGGAATTTTCCATCGAAGAGATGGTAAATTATAAAGAAAAAGAATATTTTCGCTGGATATTAAAACGTAAAAATAGCAGCGCCCTACTCGGTATATATTTATTACAATCGCCATTGATATCCACTCAATGTTTTGAACGAAAATCGAATAAAGAACTGATTTTGAAGGTTTTCTGAATTGTATTCTCTAGACTGAAACCTTCTTACACATTTACAGTAACACTGAATGGACATAACACTAAAAATAGCCTCTACATTCATTGTATCTTTACAGCGTAGGAAACTAGATTCAAATTTAGCAGACATGATTATCTAATGTATTTATATATAAAATTGATGATAATTACACAGAAGCATGGAGTTATAAACGATTCCATTTTCCTCTAGTAGAACTACAGAATTGAGAATAAGTTGGAATTCATTTTCATAAAAATCCTATTTATTGTCAATTTCTGCATCATCATATTAGGACATCTATCAAATGAAGTGATAGTTTTTCATGATCAATATCACATTTGAAATTTAACTGTGCAATAATTTATTCTACACATACGATATTCACATTTTTATATGTCTACTATATATCCATTTAACTTCATATTTGCATCATACTATTGTCATGAATCTATTTTCGAGTATTCGGGAAAAGATTGGGTAAAAATTGAATGTTTGCTTTGACGAATATCGATCGCTGAACACGATTTGGAATCAGATTATTCACACAAATGAGTAAGACTTCTAGGAGTTCTTGCACGTAAACTACGATAGCCATCAATGCTTAATCGATCTTCTCAAGTTGACTGAGATTTCGACGGGATATACCCACATCTAAATTATTAAGAAACCAAAAAGATTAGTGCCAACTGATGAGCCATTCCGGAGATATTGATGGTACGACTATAGCTAGCGTGCAAAATGTTTATTTTTGTCATACTTTTCAGTAAATTTTGGTTTTCTACAGAATGATACTAAACCAAGCAGGGAAAAGCGAAACTTCTAGTGTGTGTACTCCACTTGTACTTCAACTGCAGCTTGACATTCAAATGATCAAGAAGCAAAGAAATAACCTTTCATCTTTAAGCCTCTTTGGTTTCTATCGCATTTCTACGATTCTATAGTTTCAATGAGCCTAAAAAAAAACAAGAAATATCTATTTTTTCATACAGGTGACCTCAGGTCCATCGTTTCTGTTGCCCAATACTGTGGGAACACGTCCGTACTTCTCTATCTGAGACTGGTATAATACACTTAGGACCTGCACTTGTAGATTATTATACTTCACGATCTATAATTTCTTGGGACTGAACATAAATTCACTTTTTATTAGCGAGCTACAGCTTCATTATAATGAACAATAAATAATTATTCCATTGATATATCATATTTATATAGATTTCCTACGCAACATAAGATCTATAGGTACACATTTTCGTTAGTCGCACATCACATCACGAATAGTGAACATCATACGACAACGACTTTAAAATGTCGCTTTTTATAATTTCAATCGTTGAAGAATGCTTTGCAGTTAGTGTCAGAAATGAATTTACTTTTTTAACCAGAATCCCATTTTATGCAGCCGTGCCCAATTAATTAAATTCAACCATGTAATTTTTTTAGCTCTTGAATTTAGTCACGGATGTGTTAAGTACGAATATTTTAACTATCAAGTTCTAAATATAAAATCAGGTCGAAAATACTTTTCAGATTTCTGTAAAGTAGTTTAGTTAGTTGAATAAAATATAACCATAAGCTAGATACTTGGCAGTAATGCATATATAAAATCGGGTGCACCTGCGAATTATACAGTAGTTTAATATTTTGTTTGATTGCTGATAAATTTGAAAGTCGAATTCATCATATATTTTTAACAAAAAAAAACATAAAGTCCTATTCATAGTTTGAAAAAATCTACATGTAAAACAAAATTCTATAACAAAAATTCCTATCAAAAGAAGTTATATTTTCTTGAACACGTTGAAGATGATCACATGATAGGGGTTGCTATTTTTCTTGTAAATGCCATGTGAACTCGAAACTGATTTCGTCAATATAAGTCCTACAACGAAGTAAAAAAACAGAATGAAAATTTTTAATGAATCTTATGTAAATATCAACACTTTCGCACGATATGCTACTAAAATCAACTATTTTGGTCGTTCTTTTGTCGAAATAATGATTACATTCGATATTCTATGATCTTTAAACGTAATTTTGTTAAATTCAAGTAATTGCTTGTGCGTGCAAACCAATTCGTCAAAAATCAAAACGTTTTTCATCTAAAAATAACTCGATATATAGGTGCTAGTCTTTCAGTTGTTAGTTTAAACAAAACTACTCCTTAAATTAGATTTCTCATTTTTTTGAACATTCCAAAATATATCTTACATAGAAAGAACTTTTGATATATCCATATGTTCATTGGGGTCTTTTTTCTGAATGACAGCCGGTTTCATATATGCAAGCAGTATTACAACTGATCCTTGCTTGTCTGAGAGAAAATAACATGCCACAAGTTTACGATCACGTATTTGCTCACATTGCTCGTCTCGGTTGTCCTGTAAGATTGACTAAACCTAATCTAGTTGTCAGTGAAATTAGACATGTATCACTTATTCGGCCTCGTCCGAAACACACCAATTTCCATAGTCTAGCATTATGGGCAAACTTCATCGTTGGGAAATTGAGCATTACATGTTTTCACATTCGGATAAAGTATAGTAAATCGAACTGTTCATCTGAAGCATGTTTTGTTATTCGATTAAAATAAATCTCAAACTCTTATAGCTGTTCTCAACTGTTGCTGTTCAAGCATTCTGTTCAACTTTAAATGCATAATGACTAGGCATAGATAACTGCGTGAGTGTGAGTGAGGATCTGAGAGGCAGGGGGAGAGTCATAGTGTTCTCTTCAATCACCCACACCCTCAAGAAGCAGCTTCGATTTTACATAGTCATTGCTTTGTATGAATATGTATTATTATGGAGTTGATGGGAATTCGTCAGGTCGTAGTCGGCTAAGATATGCAATATCAGACATTAGTTATTTTCAATGTGTTAAAATTAGTGATAAATATTGAAAAAAACCTTATCATTCTTTGAAAATATCTGTATGAATACGACGAAATATCAGATAAAAGAAAAGTAAAATCATTATATATTAAAATTAGAATAGAATAATTGTGTTCTTTATTTTATTTTATATTTGTTTTGTTGCATTATTCAAAGAAGATTCAACCAATTATTTATTTATTTATTTAGCATTTATTTCTGACTATTCTAATTTTTATCTCACATACATTATTAATTTCCTTTTTCATTGCAACCATATCCACACTCTACACATACGTAACATATTATAAATTATCATCTGATCTGAGCACTACAGTCATAGTGAGAGTTAATTCTTGTGGGCACTCTAAGAAGTGCTTCTTTTAGGTTTGATTCAATCATTCTTTGCATATACAGAAAATAGTTTTTTTTTCATCATCTTGGATTAAATCTCTCATTTATAGGCAAGAAATTATTTTAATATTCAGCGTTGTTTCTTTATTTCAAAAGATTTTTATCCAATACAAAACTGGAAAAGAACTTAAGCAGCAGTCAATTTACTCTTGATCCATGGAAGATAATAACTAACACGAGCATAGACACCAGGATATCCATCAAGAGCACATTCACGACCATAACTAACAATACCATTCAAAAACCTAAAACAAGGAGCTAGCGAACCAGAGAAGTAGAAGAGAAAGCTCACTTACCATTGTCCGTTTGATTCGTACATTAATGGTCCTCCTGAATCACCTTGGCATGTGTCACGGCCGCCACCATGAGCACCGGCACATACTTGTTTTTGATTATTATAAGTACCATAGATTTGTCCACAACGATTTGGCATTGTGTGCAACGAGGTTTGTTTCAAAATTGGACTTGTTTGACCTTGAAACGATGTTGTACCCCAGCCAGCTGAAGAAAGTGGACATTACTAATGTTTTTTTTGGAAAGGAAAGAGCGGTAGTAGTTACTTACTGACCCAAACTGTATCATTTTCACTGCGAGCTTCGGCGCCTGGTAAACAGATAACATTGATCTTGTCTGAAATTGTCACTGGTTTTGAAAGACGAATAATAGCAACATCGTTTTCATGTGTTTGTGCATTGTACTGTTCATGCATAAAGATGCGTTGTGCTGCAATTTTCTGCTCACCATAGACTGGTTGATTGATATCGTGTAAACCGATAATGACTTCATACTTTTGTGTAACAATTGGTGTTGTAAGACAATGAGCTGCTGTCACAACATGTCTTGTATCAATAAGAGTTCCACCACAGAGACCACCATCAGCATGTAAACGTACTTGCCATGGCTGAGAAGCAATACATACAAAATGTGTAGTGAATAGTTAGATTTTATCTGTTTCTCTTACCCATGAGTTTGGAACTGCATGTACTCCTCCGACAATACGTTGTTTCGATGGTTGAAATTTTTGTTTACCACATTCCTTTGGAAAGATGGACGATGATGTAGTTGTAGCCATTGCTTGACAACAGAGACGAGCTTGATTGCTGTTCTGCTCAATGCCAACTTGTCCGGCGCATTCTTGGTTAGGTGTGTATGAGAATGACATTTGTTCACCAGTTATTGGTATCCATGGAGAACACAATTTTCCATTGTCACGAATTGTCAATTGATGTTGTCCATAGGTACTGGTAGCAAAAACAACAAGAAATGCGGCGACTAATAACATTATTGAATTATGTTATTGTTACTTCTTTCAGTATGAAATAGTCGTGGAAACTAAAGCTACTTATATAGGCTATTTGGAATGCATGTACCACAAGACCATTTACGAACAATAGCCTTGAAAATATTTAATTACAATGTTTAATGTGAATATTTTTTGTTATTGTTGTAATCCTTTTGTTTTTCTTGAAATCAATATTTTCCGCGAAATCAATTTAATTTCGTGCTATTGCAATGAAGACGAAACCCATATGTTTGATTACGGTCAAACTGCGGTGTAGCTACGGTGCAATTACGTTGTCTTTGTTTATCCATATTTTTTATTATTATTTATGAGATTTTTGTGCAAAACAAATTACCGAAGAGTATTTTAAGCAAAACAAATACAACAGCTGTTAGTGCTATTGCTGTGGGATTGAAAATGTGAAATCTGATATAGTCACTAAAGTAAATCACGTGGCGATGGCCTATACAATGAAATTTGTTTTCATTTTCTGCGAGAGCTCGTCAATTTCGGCCTATGAAGGAGGTATGAGTACAAATTTCTATCCTATATAATTCAAAACTTCTTTGAGATCGTATTTCACAAAATGAACAATATAGAAAAAAATCTTCTCAGCACAACTACACTGTAACAAAAAAAGTCGTAGAATAAGAAACTCTTGGACTTACTAAGGATGCAAGTGTCGAAATAATCAAAATTCATATTTAACAAAGCAGAAGAAGAAGCGTAAATTAGAGCGTAGCATAAATTAGAGTGAAAAAGTAAATGGTAGACAAGGGAAAGAAATATTGCGCTCAGTTACTATTATTGTTTTAAATTTTCTATATATGTAATTTATGGTAATGATGACAATCATGGAAAAATACGACGAAAGCCGTTAATTGAATTTTAACAACGGTTAGCTGATGCGCGATGATTTTGTTAGGATTTCATGTAAATAAATACTGAATAAGAAGGAATTATATTGTTTTTCATGAAGCGAGTCCTACACAATCTATAAACGTATTAGAGGATGATTAAGAAACTAATGGATTATATATATTTTTTGTTTCATTCTGATAGAATCTAAAAGTATATTTCAATTTGATCCTATTATTCAAAACAACTATATTCAATATTTAACTATTTAAAAAACAATCAAAATTAAGAAAAGTTAGTTGAACAGCAAATATATCGACATTGCACATATAGAGGCCATCGAAACTGTATAGTCATGTATTTTGTTTCCGAAATAAATCATTGGTTTCTATGCCAATGAATCGTTCAATGCAATATAGGGCATAATCAAGAGAACCTTCGCAAATAATACTCCTAGCATCAATCTACATAATAAAAAGTTTATCATCAATATAATCCGTAAATCGATAACTAGCTATAGCTTAAAAGAAGCCATAAAATATCACTTGAACTATATCAAAATCATAAGTATATAATACGATTGGCACATTTTTATATTCTCTTCCAAATATAAGCTGAATGCGAATCGTACGACCGTATTTGAGTAGAAGAGTAAGTTAAATTGAAATATCGCGTGTATGTTTTCCTATATTAATTCGTGACTTGGTCTTTCGTTTAAGCCAATCTATTACTTTAATGAACGATGTTCCAGTACCACCGAGCCAAAAAAAGGCAAGATCTTGCATTGATGCGTCGAATTTATCGATTAAAAGGCAGTACTGATAAAAAAGCGTCGAACGATAAACGTTCAAACCTTTCCGATCAAACAGTAGAACAATCGATCTCTGTGCATCGAGTGATAAACCCTTTCAACGAAAGAGCGGAAAGATCAACCCCTGCACGATGAACAATGAACTTCTTTCAACAAAATAGAAGTAGAATCAACCTTCAACCGACGATGAAACTATCCCGTGAGATGCTAAGGTAGATAAGCCGATATTTGTCAGTAGAATAAAAAAATTTGTCAATGAAGAGGCATAGAATCGAGTATTCACGTACAGTACTAAACCCTTTTTATTAAGATGTAGATGAATCAACTGTTGAACGTGGAATACTAAACCCTTAGGCGTAGAATAATGAACTGTTTCTGAAAAATGGCAGCTTACTCTACACAGAAAGGCAGAGTGATGTACCCTTTTAACAAAAATGTAAAATAGTAAACCCGATGACGAAGGCAAGAATTATAGGAAAACAAGAATCTCGCTAGAAAGACAAGATCCGTTTTTTCAGGCAAGAATCTGGGCAAATAGAAATGAAGATAGTCGACTAGTGTATGGTCTACATAGAAAAATACTTATTAAGTATACCTGTATTGATTATTCATGGTGATATACTGAAAATTCGATGGTTATGAGACAGATTGAGAGATTATGCAACTGCTTATTATTGTCATCTACTGATCGATGTCAAAACTCAAATAAACCATTATAAAAATTTGTGGACTATAAAAATCTTTTATTTTAATCATTGTCTGAATTAATTATCATCACTCTGAAACCTGTAAAAAGCATGAAAACGATTAATAAATTGGATAGTCTCGCTCATGCCATCAAAAGCGACGCGATTTTGATGACATGGGCGGTTTCAAGGTCCGTTCGGTGATATTTCCCTTGAGTCTTTTCTCAAGTAAATATCCCATTCAGAAATATCAGATGAGGAAGTTAAAAATCGGAAAGCTGTGATTTGTGCATAAATGGTTAAGTTGATTGCCTATTAACACAATATCCTTTGTTACATTTCAGGTTATATCAAACCTTTCACAACAACCCTAGGGAGCACGTTATGAATATTAAGTGAATGGCGGCTTATTAAAGAACATCATTTTTTTGACTCTATAAACGCTGCAGTTTCTGAAAAAACTATACTCAACGTCTTAAAAGAACTAGAATTGTTTTTTGTTAATATTTTTCATTTCTCTGAACTCGCTAACAGATCAATTAGTCGGAAATCTAGAAAAGTATCAGAAAAAAATATTTAGCGGTGGCTATTTTTTCTCTTGCGATTCAACCAATAGATTCTGATGCCTAGTTTTATGAAGAAGACCTATCAAATAATAACAGTTGAATAAAAATGACTCGAATGCGGAAAAATATCGAAAGATCTGGTCCCCTTGCATCGAACGGTCTAGAATATGTGTACGTTGTTTTTTTGTTAATATAGGGATTAATCTTTAGCACGAATTCCCGAGATACTAAATAAATTGTATTCTATAACTTTTCATTTCGAACTGCGAACCATATTTACCCTTTTGTTGCTTATAGCTCTGTGGGACCAACGTGATAAACATTTTCACAGTCTATATATATTAATTTTAATTTCTTTTGGGATTTTTTACGTGCTCTTACAAATCATTGTACGTCTCTATACCCGTACTGTTACCACCAAAATATGTTTTGGCTTCGAATGCCCCTGGTGACAACGGCAACGTCACTGATCTTGTCTTGATGTTTGTTATATCATGTAGGTTTATTTCTTCTCTATATTGTTCTCTCTTGTTACTTATTGTCGCGCTTATTATTTTCAACATTGGCACTTTTTCGTTTTCGCCCTTAGACTCAAAAAATATACATGATAGTTATTTTTTTTCTTCTCTACCAAAAAGAATCACCTTTTTGATAAAGTACATGTTACCTTTCTTTCAACTTGATTGCTCTTTACAATCAATCTAACTCGATTGTCCCTTACAATCGCTCCAACTCGTCTCAGCTACTTGCTTGTGGAGTTCTTCGTATTCTCAACTATTTTTGTTCATTGAATAAACTGTTGAGTCTTCATTCAATATTCAATACTATTTTATTTCCAGTGTTGCCATTCTGCCACAACCAATACTGTGGCACCTGGCATTTTTATTAGTTGCGTCTCTGATCCTTATCAAGGCGTTACACCCCTGTTCCACTCAATGCGAAAACCTCGGCTAATCCAGACATTGCAACATTATTTATTATAATGTTTCACAAACTAAAATAAATTTACATGCAAGATTAAAACATGAGCTTAATGTTACATCCATTTATTTTGGCAAGCTTCTTTTTTTTTCATCAAAAAAAGTCATAAAGAAAGATATATTTGATTTTTCTTTTTTCTTGAAACATAATCATTTTCTATTTGCCTTCTACGAATAATCAAAAAAGAAATACAAGATTGGGATTTCAACCGAATTTTGAAAAACCAGCAAATGCTGATCTGAATTCACGTTTACCAAATTTCGGAAATCCATGAAATACACTCATCGTAAGTCGTTTAGCTTTTGGTCTCCGATTGAAATTATATTGTTGATCGTTATCCAAACATACACCATAAACTGTACACAATATGTTAACATATGAATCTTGGTCATTCTTCTCGTTTACCAATGATTTGATAACATCTTGTGAGTTCGAGCCACTTAATGGTAATGTTTCTTTTTTGTTTTGATCAATATACGGAATAGTGAATGAATAACAATATCGATTGAAAAGTAATACAAGTATAAAAATCGAACAAAAACGATTCATAATAAATTTTTAGAGAAAAGATCTTCGCTTACGAATATGTTAATCTTTTTTGACGTGTTCAAGTTTTGCGAACAATCGAGCAACATATATGATTCTCTCTTAGGATTCTTTTTTGCTTTGCATCTCTCTCTCTCTCTCTCTTGCTTTTCTTTCTGTGCACGTTGCTTTCTTTTCTCATAAAATCATAATCTAACTAACTCGATAAAAATCTTCAATAGATATAACTGAATTTTCTATCGGAGAGTTTGTAAATTATAAGCAAGAATATTTCCAATAGATAATAAATATTAATAAGTAGGGTCGTCCTATTCTTTTTATACGAAAATGATTGAATTAAAACAAGAAAAGCGAGTTGTCAACTCATAGCTTTTGTTTTTTGTTCACAAATGCCATTTGTTATCCAATCAATATTTTCAAAAGCAAAATCGCATAAAGAATAGATTTCGAAGCTTGTCCCCAGACAAAAACAAATTGGAAGTGTATTCAAGTTTCACAAACGATTGATTATCTCAAGTCTTTGTCCGAAAAAGGCGAATTTATTTATAAAATTAATGTTAATCACATCAAAACATGAGAGCTTTAAGTGATTATGTATTTTGCACTAGTAAAACTGAGAACTAACTTGAATACACTTTCATAAACATTCTATTCATTGCGTTTTGTTTTCTTCAAATGTTTTCCTCTTGAGACAGATTGTTTTCTATTAAGGACATTTTCTGATATACAGAATACGCTATAAATAGTAATATGAGACAAAAGCAAAAAATATGTCAATACTTCGTTTCGTCGAATAGACTGAATTTTTGACTAGCGTTGCAAACTCGTAGAGCTGCATCGTATCAGATAAATTATACCTAGTGTAGATCAGCGTTCGACCCTCTATCAACCTGCATAAAAATATCCTTTGAAAAGGAAAAACTAATATTTTCAAAACATTCTCCTAGGGGGTAGGGCGATCTTCTGAAAAGAGAGTAGCTGAAGACGTCTGGAGGGTGCACGGAAATGTTTTGAAAATATTAGTTTTTCCTTTTCAAAGGATATTTTTATGCAGAGTGATAGAGGGTCGAATGCTGATTTACGCTAGGTATAATTTATTTGATATGATGCAGCTCTATGAGAAATTTTTGCGTGATATCAGATCCGTTTCCTATAGAAAAAGTACTCGTTTCTTTACGTATTTTTCGATTAGTTCCCTGAGACTATTCTTTGAGATCCCAGGCTAATTTTTTCATAATGTTGTAGAACTCGGTGAGTACTATAAACCTACATGTATCCAGCTTCTAGACAATCCATAGTTTGGGGAAATTTGAGTCTCTCAAAGTCGTGGCTTTGGCCAAAATCACGATTTTTTGGCGGGTCTCCACAGTGATTGGAATTATGTAGGTAGCTGATTTCTTTTAGCGGACTATGTACACAATGAAACCTCTCTATAGCCAAGGTTTCAACCCTCTGGTACGATCCATTCATGAGATACGTAAGTGTACAAAATACCAAAAATTAGCCATTTTGCCGTTTACCTGGCGATATTTGGCAACTCACCAATACTGCACTTATTTAAGCGCATTTTTTTCCTGGAAATACAAAATCATGATACCTATTCACAGTAAAAATTTCAATTAAATTGCATATACCCTTGATGAGATATCGATGTCACAAAAATCACCCAAAATGACCTTTTTTGACGATAGTACCCTCAGAAAAGTGCAAACATCTCAACAACGGAACAATATTTTTTCAAACGGTTGGCGTCATAATTTTTAGAACTCTTACCTCTACAACATGTATTAAATTGAACAAAATCGGACGACATCAACGGAGCATGTCACGCCGTGACTTAGATGGACTGGCTCATATATATATTTCTTTCTCGATAACTAGTGAAGCTGCTTTTCTGACATGAACTAAAATATTTCACAGTGCAGGATTTATACTTGCCTTATTCCAACAAAAAACGTTTTTTGAGCAGAGTTCTACTATCAATCAAAAACTGAGCCCATTTAAATGTCTTATAGTCATGTTATTGTTTATATTCTACTCTATATATTGAGATAGAGTTTCGAAATAGAAAAGTAACAATGTAAGAAAAAAATGTTAAAAAGCTCAATGTTGTCAAGAGGCGAGGAACCGCGAAATTTCGCAGCACACCGTCACTACATCGTCCCACCGCGTCCAGTCCATTTTTGATGGGCTTTCATTTGATATAAAATTTATCATGTCTTCTATTTGAAATAATGGCCGTACACCCATAGAATAATATTAACTAAAGAATGACCAAATACCATAGAAAGATAGAGCGTTTTTTTCTCTGTTGTTTCATACTAAAAGAAATTCTCCTTCAGCTTACTATCAGGCATCAAGGCGTCACTGTCAGTACTTTTTGACTGACCTAACTATTTGTTTGTCCTAATTCTAAAGGTTATTATAACCTACTTTCATTTCATGAAGCAACACTGTAGTTCCATCAGTTGTATCAAATAAAAGTAAATTTCGTGAAGATACATTTATTCATGGAAAAGAAAAATGATTGAAAGCGTTGTTTGTTTTTGTTCGGCAATCTTATCTCCTTCAATATAGCGAATATTGATTGTGTGTTAAAATTAGTCAAGAAAAATTAGTTCAATTTCAAACTTTCAATTTAATTCATATGCAAATATCAAGAATTTACAACAACAAAATACATTAGCATAATTAATGTATTAACGGGTGGCCCATAAAAAATGGCGGTCTCATTATTTACTCAATATCTTTTTTGCTCTTCATTGATTTGAACTGAACATTTTCCCAAAAGATTCAGCATTCAATTCTCTACAAACTCATGTGTAAAAGATTTTTTAAAACTACAAAACGGCTAAGTACTAAAACGAAGAAAAAAGGTTAAAAAATCTTCAACTTTCAAGCTCAACATACATTAACNAGTGATGCAAAGTTTCGTTTGCAGTAGACTTTCTTGTAAACCGAAATTAAGGCGTTATGGACGAGTTTTCAGAAAATATCGATTTAATAGGCGAAGACCACTTTTAAAGAAATGTTTTTCAAAGATATCGAAAAAGAGCGTACTTGAAAATACCAGAAAATATTTCTCTCGTAACTTAAGCCTGCGTAGAAATTGTCGAAAAATACTTCAAATGTTAATGTATGTTGAGCTTGAAAGTTGAAGATTTTTTAACCTTTTTTCTTCGTTTTAGCACTTAGCTGTTTTCTAGTTTTAAAAAATCTTTTACACATGAGTTTGTAGAGAATTGAATGCTGAATCTTTTGGGAAAATGTTCAGTTCAAATCAGTGAAGAGCAAAAAAGATATTGAGTAAATAATGAGACCGCCATTTTTCATGGGCCACCCGTTATTAAAGTCACAGTTCAATTGCATTGGACGAAAGTCGTAATTGAAATGGTATTGATGTAATTGTTGTCGAATTAAATGTGGGAAACAAGATGTATCATGAAATTCGGAATTGGAAAAGCCAATGCGTAGCGAAACAAGTTTTTGTAATTTATTAACAAGCAGATAAATAGGAGTAACAATTCGTTTTGCGAATTTATTTTTCCCGTCAACAATACAAGATGGTTTCCATTTCCACCGACGATATGCATCACAAATATTAAATGAAAGTTTCTTCAAGTTAGATAATCGATTCGACAATAATGTGCGAATTCGTTGAGCATTTTGCAATGTCCATGTTATATCGAAGATTTCCAATGATTTAATCTAATCAATAGAAAATATGATTTATCTTAACGAAAAATAATTTTTTTAGTTATCTTGTAAGTTTAAATCTTCACAATTTTTTCCTTTCTACATTAAATTTTGTAGAAAGATTTTCTTACAAGAAAATATGAACATTGGTTCAAATAAAATTTACACAAATAATTTCATTGAGACATTTCTTTTAAAATAGAAGTAAAAATCATTACTTGTTGATTGATTAGAGTTGTAAGATTATGATTATTTAAAATTGGGCGAAATAAAATTCCACAATCATCAAAAATTTCTAGTGTGTATACGTTATAAGCCATCCTAAAACAATGATATGTAGGACCAATCTCTCGATCATTAAGTTCTTGAATGAATACTCTCGGTTGCTGTCGTTGAATAAATGGAACTTTAAAAAGGGAATTGAAAATTCTTTTTTCTTCAAAAGTGTCCGTAGCGTATAATAATAGATTAAAAATGTAAGTTACCATTGGTTGAAGACGATCAATGTACAATTGTTGAATAATGTCGCCGGATATAACTAATGGATCAGAAATTGATGTAAATGCTTTTAATTTTAATGAAAAATGGCAAAGTTGGCTGAACACCGATGATAATTGCATGTAATGATTCGATGAAAACATAGGCTATTCATACAATTTATACATAGACGAGATAGGTATCGAAGAAGACGAGCATCAATAATAGTAGTATTGCAATTTTATATCATGTATATCATACTCATTACTATATAGATCTTTTATACCAAAAGAAAGATTCTCGATAAATGGTATGCATAATAATAAACGCTCAAGAAAACGTGATGTGCGCGTATATCAATAGCTAATGTACGAAGATGACTTGGATTTAATAAATTCTGTAACGTTATTTGATATCCTAATGAATTGTTTTCTATTTGATTAGCATTGTTATCGTCATAATCAACAGACAGTCGACAAAGTTTTAGAAGAGGCATTCTTGAACACACTTATTATTAAATTAAAAATTAGATTTTATAAATCGTTATATTAATAAGCGTTTTGGCAACAGAAAAAAATCAGAATTCCATAAAGAAACGAATTGAAGTAGTTCTTTTTTTCTACCTTAACTAGATAAATTCCTTCAACTTGAAGATAATTAAATGGGTTAGAAGATGTCACATCAACTAATAAAGTATGTAATTATTGTATTAACCGATTACGCAATAATTTATTAAATCCATGTGGTTTAATATCGATCAAATGTAGACGATGAAGCAATGTTGTTGGATGATATTGAAGAGAAGATGAAACGAGTGTCCATCCACCAATAACATCAATTAATGTTACACGTAGCGAGACAACCCGACCTCCTATTAATGCCAATATACTTTGACATTGATCATTAAACATCGTTAATGCCATTGTTGTATCACCAATATGAATGTGCCATAAATATTCATTTGATATAATTCTTGATAAACGTTTTGTCAATAAAAACAATGATTGAAGAATATCAATTGGAGATAAATAACCAAACATTTCAAATGAACTAACGCTCATTTTTTTTATAGTTCTGTTGTTTGGCGCATCATTTTTTTCTACTTTCTCTCTTTCTATCCATCGAGATTAATTTGAACAAAAGATAAAAAACGAAAACATTATTGGCATCTATGTTATTCAATGCATGTAAATAGAATATACGTTTTCTGTTTTACCTCTCAATATGTTCTTCAAATATTATTTAAAATCAAACAATTTTATGTTATTGCTCAAACTGAATTTGAACGAAAAAAAGAAAATCCTGTTCAGAATTTTATTCTCTCGAAGGGATGTAAATCAAGGAAACCGATAAAGCAGGCGAGTTCTTTTTAAAGTGATCGATTCTATTCGTCACAAAATCTCTGCTGTAATGTCACGTGCAGTGCCGATGATTTATAGCTGAACAAACTATCTATTTAGTCCACAAGAGATAATGAGTCATTTAGATAATTTAACGGTATATCGAAAGCTTTCTGTAGAAACAAGCTGGTACTGATTGATAAAGTTCTCGTAGTGATGAAATTTACCATAACTAATTTTCACATTCGTCTATTTTCATTGGTAGATAGATGGAAGGATTACTTGTTTGATTCATGGCGACAAGAAAAATTGTTTTGATTCCAGTAAAACATAATAACCTTCAGAGGAAACCGGCTTGTATTAGATTCCTAGAACGATCATTCACTTTTTATGAGGGTCCATATTTTAAGAAACGCAACACTTGTATTTCGCGTAACATATCGTATTCGAGTAAAGCTCTAATAACATCTAGGTTAGACAATGAAAAGTTAATTATTGTTTTGGCTATGTAAACAAACATTTAAAATCTTCGATTGAACTGAATCAATTGTGGCTTAAGTACAATCGTCTGTAATTAATGTAACGCTTTCTATTCATGCATCAATTCATAACAAAAATCACATCACTGCCTATTTCTAATGCTGAGACCCATAGCAGACGACTATCATAATTCTAGACGAAAAAGCCTATGCTATTTTTTAGTCGTCCTATGTGCATCCCTTGCCCAAGCTTTTTTGAAGCAAGTGTTTTTACAGTTGTTTTATTCAGAATTTTGTGCTGCATCCAATGATATATAATGAGGGTATCAAATAACAACTTTTTAGTTCAATAGATAGTCAAGTTCTCCTCTATATAGTACTTCTTAGATAAGCCGCGTAAGAGATATCACTTAGTTCGTAGGAAAAAAGCGAAAGATTTGCAGAATTTTTTTATGGGTTCATCGTTTTCTATTCATTTCTTTTCGAACTATGTATAGTTAATAGGGGTTTCACTATGCCTTTCAAATAGGGCCGTTTTTGCTAGCATATCCACGCCCGTCCTTTATTACATCAATCAAACTTTTATTTAATTAAATTAAATTTTATTTGTCTCCCAAGATTTGCACACCCACCTACACCACACTCCCTATGTAACCGGTATCACATAGTATATTTTATACATTAAAATAATCAGAAGAGAATCGCAAAAAACGAAGCATTCTGAAATATTTGACATGAGTTAGACAAGTGTTGAGCAATCTGATCCATCAACATTTTCTTTTGATTCAACTAGAAGTGAGCACACTACTAATGGCTGTAGATCAACATCGCGACAACGAGTCGACCACAATACACGAGTTGTGTTAACCGGTAGGTGCATGCGAATCTGCTGACGTTTGCATACAAAGAATGAAGTAAGACCAATAAGAATTATGGTAGTTATGATTAAAGCAAGTGCAATCAAACCAGCGCGACTTTTTTTCAGATTCATCGTTTCAACATTGTTTTTTTTCGTTGTTTTATCTGAATCAGATAACAAGTTCAATTTTATGAATTGGTGTAGCATAGCACTCGATCGACGTGCATAATCATAGGGCACCATGTGACTAGCATTGTAGAATAGAATATAAGTCAAATTACGTGCAGTCCGAATAAGACCTGCAGGTTCATCGTCTACTATCCATGGCTCTAGTGGAGCTAATGTTTTATTTCCAAGATCAAAACCAGTACGATTATTCCAAGTCATAGCATCCATCATTCTCTCTGTTCCCCAGTGATTACAAATAAAGTCCCGTTCACCACTGTAAAGTACAATTGGAATTTGTCGGAGTAAATCAGGCAATAGTTTGATGGATGGTATAGAATGATATGCTCGAAATGTATAAAAAACAGAGTCGGCACACTCAGTCCATCCTGCTTTCTTACCATCAACATGAATACGTGACATAACATCTGTTCGATGCAAATAAAGTGTAGCATATTCAATATCCGCTGGCCAATTCGTACCACAAGCAGGCCAAGTATCGTCTAATCGTACATCGTAGACGTTGACACATCTACCGGTTGTCTTGTTAGGGTAATGATTATTCATTGCGCCGTTCTTCATTATTTCAGACAGGATAGATTCACATGCTTTCTCAAAAACATGCGTTTCATTAGAAAGTCTCCGCAGACATATTTTTGTTTGAGCAGCAATATTATGATAGAGTACAGAATTATTTTCTACTAGATTGTTTGCAACTGCAAAAGGTAAATATGATTCATAAGTGCTCGCAGGATCGATCCAACCATTTCCAATCAGAAGACCAAGCAATTTCAATTCCGATCGTTTCGCAAGAATTGCTTGTGCGATGTACGGAACATATTGACCAGCAAACGATTCGCCAGCTAAATAAATATCGTTTTGAAGGAGTTCTGGGAAAATTTTGATGTAACGATCGAGAAAATTGAGGAAATGATTGGTCATCTCATCGAGTTCATGAATAAACGAGTCTGTATCAATGTAGGAAAAGCCCGTGCCGACAGGTTGCTCTACGAACAAAAGATTGGTAAACATATGCCAAGAGCCATTATTTTCGACTATTGTAGTTTTGTTTTGAAAGCGGAAAGGATCGATTTCTGGCCAAGCTCCAATCAGGCTACTGCAACCTGGACCTCCGTTAAGCCAAATCACTGTTCTTGGTTTGTCTCCAGCATATTTGCTTGCAAAATGCCAGAAGAATAAGGCTCCATGATGTTGCGAATTGACAGGTATATGTCCAGCATGCATACGAATGGAAGAAGCCTCTTTTGGCAAAAAAGGCAAACCGGTGACATAAAAATCACTAGCCTGTAAATCACTCCCTACTTGATTCACTATGGCTACGAAGATAAACACTTGAGCAATCATGAAATACAATTAAAACAGATATGTTCACTATTCGTTGAAAAATTAACTATTATTTAACAGCAAACCCATTTCGAAAAAATTATGTCTCTTGTTCGTTGTTTTCGTATGTCTGAAAAATAAAATCTAGATAGAGGTTGTTGTATTTAATGAAGATTTGCTTAGTAAGGTAATAATGAACCTTTCAAGTTCTAATTAGTTTTCTTGTTGACTCATTTCACATTAGGGGTGTTACTTTATATTTACTGTACTTTTTAAAGATAAATAAAACGTTTATATTTAAAAAAATTAAGATAAATAAAATATTTATATTTATGAAGTAAAGATAACAATAATCTTTATCTTTATAAAATAAAGAATAAAGAAAAATATTTTTCCTTAAAAACCCAAAATGTGGCCTTCTCCGGATAGTTCGAAGAAAATTAAGAAGTTCAAGGCTAAAAACTTTTGAACACTAGATGTTTTTTGCATAAATGATTTATGCCTCACCGTCATTTGCTAGTATTATTTCATACTGCAATGTCCGTGATGATAAGCAAGAACTGCAATCAATATTTTCTGTTGTTATACAAATTATTTATCTATTTACCAGTGACCGCAGAAAATCTTTCTTTTTTCTTTCTTTTAACTTTATTGTTACAAATAAAGATTATCTTTATCTTTATTTTATAAATATAAAGATTTCATATACTACTGATGAATCGTCGATTTTTATTTTTAACTTGTAACAAAGACGCTAAACTGAACTAACTACTAAAATCATCAGTTTAATCTAATAGCATTCATAAAATTCTTCTTAGGCATGAATTAATTCGGTGATATTGAGAGTTATCCATTTTTGGACGGTTTAATTGATTGTTGAATAAGATGAAAAAAAGGAATGAACTTAGGGAAACCTGAATTTTGAGTGTCATGCCACCATTGTCCTACTCCTGATACTTATTTTCAATCCAAGTTCATAGCAAAAATTCGAATGAAAATTCAAACGACAAGATATATTCTTTGATGAGATTTAATACTCAATCATGTCGAATAGTGATCAGTCTATTGACTTCTTCATTCAAGAAGCCATGATTTATCATATTAAAATGAATCTATATTGAGCAGAATATAAATAATGAGTAGATAGTTGATGATACTCTAACTGCATGTATTTGCATATTCATAAGAGTCAATTACCTATGATGCTATATACTGTTTTCTCGAACTGCACAACTTTTACTCAATACTTGAAATAGAATATGAGCGATTCGACTCATAATTCATATTACTTTTCATGTATTTACTACGGTGATTCACAGTTACCGACATAATTTCCCACTCACCGCATGAGTAATTAATGGCACGTAGAACAAAAGCAGCACTTTTGACTCATTTTTTTTCTTCTAAAAATAGTAACGAATGAAAATCGCCAACCATTAGGAATGCATGGTGCTAGTTTACTGAACATTCATGACACCGATGTCACTGCAACTGCTAGCTTTGTGATGCTGCTAGTTTTATTGCTCGGTGGCACTGTGATCGTACCCATGCATTGAAATATATTGATTTCTGAGCTGTTTCTTGACTTTGACTTCGAATTTATTTACTTACTCACTGCTGATGCATCAAGAGTAAATAGATAAAATCAAAATTAAAGAAGTCCTCAGATGGCCTTCATGCAAACAATCATCATATTAAAAATACATTTGAAGTAAAGTCAGCAGGATGATTTCACTTTCGATTCCAAATTAGAAAGTTCCTGTTGAATAGATGTCTAAAAGTGTTTTCTTCCATCTTTTCTTTTGAATATGATTCATACATAATTTTAAAAAACAGTTTTATGTTAAGTCTTACCTGAAATAATCTTCTCAACAAAATAGAAACAGCTTTCTTACGTGCACTCAACATAAAACGTAATGTTGTCTTACAGCCTTCTTTTTCGCAATAGCACGAACAAAAAAGAAAAATAAACCGCATGAATCATGTATCGACTGGGAAAATTGAAGCTGAAATTTCCAAGCATTTCTTTTTATTTTAACTCACTGATTCACGTTCGATTACTGGGTTTTGTTTAGTCATATTGCGCAGCAAAGCCGCCATGGTTGAGTGGATATGTTATTCGACACATATTCACAAGGTACTGTGTTCAAATCACAGTATCACCCATCATGGAATAACCCCGAACAAGTTACTAACGGCTAATTGTTCCGGATGACTCATCCGATAGCGTATCGATTATATCATTAGTCAGTATGCAGAGTCAAAACAATAACTTCAACATAGATGTCACGGCCACGTGATCCTATGATGATCGCCAACCCATAATCATTAACGGGGGAAGCGTTGGACGAATGGGGTGCAGATACCGTCGTCTGTAAAAGAGAAAA